CTTATTTTTATCAGAAGTTGTATGAGAAAACTCCACCATTCTTCCAGTCATGTATTTTGTTAACTTTAATATAAAATTTTATTGGTAACAGTATAGCAGTATTCCTTCTTCCCTGTGGAACACACACACACATATATATTCACACTAGTCTAGCACTGAAAAAGCTAAAAACTTTCCATTGTGCTATAGACACTGCAATTAATTTATCTTAGTGTTGTTAAATTTGTTTAGAATTTAAAAAATGTTACAGTGAAACAATGTATTAATTTTAACAGGTTTGACTGTTGATGGCTATGACCGCTATGGTTTTAACAAGGACAGATTGGACCATAATGGTTGTAGTTGTGGCTATGAAGGACCCTTTGTACTTATAGATGCTAGACGTCTACAGGATATTTTACACCATCAGACTAGAGAGTTTCTTCTTACTCTGCCTCGTAGCTGCAGTAGACAAGATAGTGTGAGGCCTGCACTTTGGGAAAACCAAACATGGAATAAACATAGTAATAAAACTATTCATTTCTCTTCATTTAAGGTATGTTATACTATAAATTATACATTTATTTCATTAAAAGAAATAATGATACAATGTCTTAAACAATTTTAGTTTTTTCCTAGCTAGTTATAATTAAGCTTTTAATTTTTCATATTGTGTGTGTATTTTGTAACATCCAAAATATAATGGGATATGGATTATTGGCTTGAGATATGTGTAAGCTATAATGATCTGAAAATTATAAGTAAAAAAAAAGATGACTGCATTTTGAAAATTACACAGTTTATATTACATAACTGATTTTATTCATTATGAAAATCAGATTTTATTGATGGATAAATCATTGTGTTATCAGTCACTAATATTTTTATATGTGGCCAGTCCATTAGTTGCTTTTTGTGTAATGAAAATTAAGTTGAGTTTAAAGTCTACGTTTGGTCTTATAGTTAATTTTCAGTGTCTGTTGTTCTTTGTAGCTTGAATATAAGTTGAAGTTCGATCATACTCTTCATCTTGTCTCTGCGACAATTTAAACCTTTCACTGCAGCTGGAATGTATATTTCCCAGTGCACAAATGTTCTTTCTTATCTACCTTAGTTTGTATGCATCCGCTTAGAAATATGAAAGCATTGCTCATTTTCTACTAGGACAGAGAAGGTCACCTTAAAATATATGTCCTGAAACAAAAGCTGCTCTAAATGTGTCTTAGAAATTTTTTTTTTTGCATTTTTTGGAATCCAGCATTTTTGAACTAGCATACTGTAAGTAACACTAACACACAATTATTACTAATCAAATTATGCTTGTATGTATTCCTATAAGTTACAGTTTTAAAACCTACAGCTTTATAGAAGCTGAAATGCTCCTTAAAGATTAGGATAAAGTTTGTTCTGAAGAAAACTGTAGTTATTTAGTACTTATTCTTCTACACTGAATTTATAATGATTTTGTTTTCATATTGCTTGTAGAGGATTTTCAGAAAAACCTTTTGGTGGTTTTTACTGACTAGCATGTTTGAAGTTAATAATAAAATCTCAAATAATGTTTGCATTGGACATATTCTTAAAAACTGGCATATTTTTTATATCAGCTTCTGTGTGGATATTGGAATAATTATTTTAGCAACTATTAGTGCTTTCTTTTTTTGCCATATGACACATGCAACATTTGAAATAAGTCAAGTAATAAAGGCTGAATTTGTCTTAATATGAAACCACCTGGCATGATTTAATGAGGCATATTTATTTTGTATACATTTTTGAAATCCATATTGTTGAATTAAAAGCATCAGTTTTTAATATGCATTTTTCTTTTACCATTAAGTATTCACATCTTATATTATGTTACTGATATGAAAACTTTTCTGTTGTGTAGTTCTTGTTTTAACCTGGTTACTGCTCTGACTTTTCTTTCAGCTCCTCCTCAGTGTTATCATGCTACTTAACTAGCCTCTAGAATTTGGTTTTTAGTAATTAGTAGTATTCGTCAGAAAATTACTGATGCTACAAAACAGTTGAACTCTAGTCATTGTCGCTTTGTTTCAGAGGGAGCATAAAATGCAGGATTTTATGCGAAGGTGTTTTCCTGATATTTATAGTATACACTGACTACCTGTTTTTTCTAGGCTAGTCATGTAATTCCAATCAAATTAATACATGAAGCATATCTTGCAAGATAAAATGTTGTCATTGATACAGTGTTTTAGCTTTTGGAGCTATTTTCATTATAGTTCTTAATTTTTAGTAAAAACAATTTCTATACTGTGGTTAGTTTTATCCTCTAATTTAACTCCATGATAATGTATGTATCCAAAGCAGCTAATCACACAAGACAATCACCTGTGTTTTATTACAAGAAACATAACTGTTATTGATTCTATTTCGACATCTTTTTCATTATTTCATATGAATATGAAAAAATATGTTGAAATAATATGTTTAAATATTCAAATTAGTTAATTTATGATGCATATGTCAAGATATCAAAATTCAAGTTGTTATTTTAAATCTGTTAAATTGCAAATAATGTTTTTAGTCTGTGGGGTTATTATTATTATTGTATTTGTTAATTTGCAGCCAGTGTCAACTCATCAGTCTGTTTGGTCTAAAATGTATTGCTTTGATGCGGACATATTCTTTTCCCACTGCCCTTGCCAAGAACAGACTGTAAGTAAACCTAGTACAAAATAATTTTCATCATCTTGAGCACAAGTAAAATATCATATATTATATATGCTACAGTCAACATTTGCTAGGTATCACTGTTTATCAGTGCTAATAAACAACCAATATTGAGTTACTTTCAAACCTATAAGGGGTAAAGGAAGCATTAATCAGTTTCCACTCCTGGTAATTTGTAAATCATGCAAAGTACAGACCTTCTGTTGAAAAAGGAGTTATTCAGTGTGACACACTATGCCATTGTGGTATTCCTCCATTACATGGCTTTCTCACAGGCCTACTAACTGAAAAATACTGGACTGTGGAGAGTATAATTATGTGTCTCTCTGGTTTCTGACAGAGGTTTTCGAGAAGAAAGAGTTTAATCACAAAAGGCATACAATGATAATCTCAACACACAACTATATTACAAACACAGTTACTATCACATGACAAAACAAAACGAGGGAAATAGTGTTTTGGACTGATGAAAAAGAGAGAGAGAAAGAGAAGGAAAGTTAAACCTTTGTGAGTTCCGTCTCTCACCAGTCCAGTATTTGTGCTATAAGCTAAAATAAAAGAAAGCTGCAAAATACAAATAAACCCAAAGTTAAAACGAAAAACAAAATAAATCAAATGTATATACAAAAAAATTCTCAATTCTAACAAAATCTCTTTATTCTGCTCAAAGTTAAGTTACAGGAAATCTAATAAACAAAAGAGAACCTGGCTTTTAATGCTAGAAAGTACAATCATAACAACCTAAGCCAAGTTTACTCATGAAATTTTTTCTGCACATGACCTTTGTCCACCTATGCTTGACTGCAGGGGCAGGGAATCCATAATCCATTACCCGATTTGTTGATAGAAAATACAGCTTTCTATTTCTGGATGTTACATGCTATTTTCCCTGCAAGAAAGTCAGTTAATTGCCAGTTAGTGTTCAAGATCCCTGACACAGCTAGAAATAATCAAAGTTAAGAATTGTGTTTATTTGAACAACTTTCCATGTTCAAACTGAACTAAAAGAAAATACTTATATATTAACTAATGGAGTAGGAAACATCTTTTACCACATCATGTGGATTATTTTTGCATTGCTCTTAATGTTTATGTTAAAACACTCATATTTCAAACCATTTTGTCCCAGGCTAATTTCATAATGCACTTAAGCATGACATAATTTTAATGTTGCCTTGACATGCTACACATGGAAGTGTCTCTTTGTCATATTGCTGCTACCTTAGTTGTGAGCCAGAGAGTTGTATTCCATACTTGGAAGCTAATGAATTGAAGCATTGAATTGTGCAGAAACATGATGAGAGAGAGCAAGTAAAATTTGAATTTGTAAAAGAAATATTACAAACAACTTATATTTATTTAGTTATTTGTTTATTCATTTTACAGGTGATCCCTACCAAATTTTGAGTAGTGTATATGTATCAGAAAACTTCTGATGAATTTGAGATTGTTCTATATATAGAAATGTTTTAAATGGGCTCACATATGTTAAGGAAGCTTTATACCCTACACTTAGGTAACTTTTATTAATCTTATCACTACTTGGATTTTTCTTTTAGAAATTAAGATAATTTCATGACTGATGTTATTATTAAAACGAAATTCAGCTGGAATTTAGCCAGTTCTCAGAGGTTTAGATTTAAGCTTACTGAAGGTATGTGTATTTGACTTACCTGAGTAGATTAAATAACCTGTTGCAACTATAAAAGTAACTGAGAAACTTAAAATGTTTTTATTGTGTTTTTGAATTGTTGAATGATGATAAAAAAGTCTGTATATATATTTTTACCGATAGATAATATTAGATTAATTAAAAAAAACACCTAGGAATTAAGCCTAATTAACTATCTGGAGTATTACAAGTATTACAGTATTTTCTATAAGCTTGAGGCAGTTTTTCAGGGTGTTCTGTTATTTCTAATTCAGATATATTTACTTTTGTCCTATGGACATGAAGATAAGTTATAAATATTTGTTGCTTGTGTTTACTCTGAGATGATAACTCACCTATTCACACAGAAAAGCTGTCCTCCTCATGCATCTGCCTAAAAGATTTGCATGCTACTAGCCTTGTGACAACTCCCACCTAGTTTATTGCATGATATCATCATGCAATAAAAGCCTTCCACAAATGGGAGAGTGATGCAACCTCAATGCACAGTAACTCCCTCTATGCACTTGCACTCATGATAACTTCATTTTTCTTGTCATTATATTGAGCAGACATTCTGTTTCCCTTTGCCTCGTCCTTCAGCTTTGGCTATTGATGCTCTCAGCAAGATCTTGTCTCACCTCTTTCTATATGCCTATTCTTCTCCTCCCTCAATACTCCTTATCAGGTCGTATTTTGGGTACCTCTTTAGCCAGTTCAGCCTTGGTTTCCACCCCACCCCCTTCATTTACCCAATATCCCCTCTATTACTTCAACCTTACACATACCTTTTTCATCAAGGAATATCATCCCTTCATTTTCATGTGTGGGATTTGTTCAGTCCTTTCTCTCTTTCAGGGTCCCTGTCATGACTGTCCCTAACCTATGACCCCTCTTCTTCCAGGTATGTCTCTCCTTCTATCTTTACTGGATGGGTCTGTTGGCTCCTCCAGTGGGTATGTTTGTCTATAGATGTGGATGCTTTCAAGCTTATTCACATTTCTTTGCATTTGATTTGTCACCTTTTTCATTCAGTGGGCATGTGGATGACTTTCCAAACATTCATTTCTCCTTTTCTACACCATCTGGTGGTTTTGTTTTCTGATGGATTTCAGGTTCCACTCATTGCCATTCTTCAGTCACCCCATCATTTTTGAAAAGAATATGTGCAATTTATTTTTCAGAACTTTAAATCCATAGGATCCTGCCAGGTGGCTAGTGTTGCAGTCATGACACTGTCAGTATATTGTTGTCTGTCCCTCTAAACCATAGCTAATAAAACTTGTGCCCTTCTCCTGCAGCCAGAGCCTGTTCACTTGAGTACAGGTGAGCACACATTATACAAAACCATACATAACTGAAGTGTCCTTCTCCTGCAGCCAATGTCTGTACAGTAGAGTTGACGTGAGCACACACTATATGAAATTATGCTGCATAATTACAGTGCCCTTCTCTTGCAAATGGAGTATTCAGTAGAGTTGAAGTGAGCATGTACTCAATGAAGCCATGCTGCATAACTAAAGTGACCTCCTCTTGCAGCTGGAGTCTGTCTCATATAATCTGTTCAGTAGAGTCAAGGTGAGTATACAAGGTACAATCTGAATGCACCCCAACCACACCACACTTATTGGCTCACGGAATGATTGTGTGCAAGTGCTCAGATGGTCATGCGATACATGGGGCTCATTTGCCTTTTCCCCCTAATATTCTAGCTAAAAAGTATACCCTGGGCAAGACTACATGCAGTCTCCCATGGGTGTGCCCCTATGGTAGCCCCTGCCATCAGATGTCACGCTCTATTGACTTCCGTTTCGGTTTTTTGTGAAGGGAGTTCATCCAGTTACAATTTTGCAACACCCCCTCCATCATTTCAACATGGGATTCTAGCATTTCTGTGTTTGTGGACCTGAGTTATGGTCTCAGAAGTTTGTTTTTTTCTAATCTGAAAATGTATTTCAAATACATACCTCTTCACACATTCCCACCCAATCTCCCCACTTTTGGTGCACATTTTTTATCTTGCCTCATCAAAGAATGAAGTTATCAGGAGTGCAAGTGCATAGAGGAGAGTTACTGAGTATGGATGTCGTGTTGCACTCCTTTTGGTGGAGAGCTTTTGTTGTGATGGTGTCATTATGCACCAGTGCAGTTCACATTAAAACACATAAGATTAAGTGGGAGTTGCCTCAAGGCTAGTGACATGCAAATGTCTTAAGCAGTTGTGGGAGGAAGATAGATTTTTTGTGTGTAGAGGCAAGTATCTATCAAAAATACATTTTCAGATGAGGAAAATGTAAACTTCTATAATTTGTAACGTTTTAGATACATCCAGCTAACTGTTCCTAATCTAAAAGGTAGTATGGAAGAAATAGAAATCAAAATTTTATCTTATGTTTAATTATACAGTTCATGAAGGTTATGGAACAACTATATACAGTAAATGAAAGAAACTGACATGCAAGTCTGTCAACAGTGATTATAACATACTTTTCTAAAAATTGCATTTATAAGAGTGATTGAATCAATATAATTTTTTAGCAAAACTAGGTTAGTTCAATAAAGTGACTAATCATAGGTGTATAAAAAAATAACCAAAAGGACGTACATATAAAAATTTGCTATATATATATACTTGGTTAAATGTGTGTTTTTATGGGTTTTTTTTAATGCATCTTTGTTAGATATTTTATTAAAATATTTGGGAAATTAAGCACTTTACTTTTAGAATTTAGAGACTGCTTTTTTTATATGCTTTTTTTAATAATTCTTTTTTGTCCATTCTATTTTTTATCTTTAGAGTATGGATTCTGTTTTTTTCTTTACATATATTGTAAAAGTTTACCATCACTTAATAATACTCTTTATAACATTTTAAAGACTTTTAAGTTTTGCTATGAATTGGAAAGATTTGGAGAGAAAGGTTTTGTATCTGTTTTATTTCTTCTGATTTCAAGGTACAACCTTGTGATGTCACCCCTGATACCTCTAAGTGTCAGAATTACAGAGAAGCTGAACGTGTTCTGTCTGTTTGTGACAGCTGCACCTCTCGCTGGCACGTTGATGGTCAATTTGTTGATTGTTCAGAACCGAAAGGTAGCATATCAGAACTAAAAGTAGTTTTCAAATAGTTCCATGAATAACAGCAGCATTTTCACCAGTTTTTAGTTATAGACTATAACTGTTGTATCAGTATCCTTGCAGTTTTTTAACTTTTTTTAACTGTGTTAGTTCCAACTGTTCTTTAATATTATTCTGATTGTTATAGCACACAAGCTTCTTCAGAAGTGTGAAGTTATATAATTATACTATGTACATATCACATGACTTTGTCAAAGCCAAATATTCAATGAAAAAAAAAGTCTACACATGCATTTTATAGGATCTTCAAAATCTTTAAGTGGTGAATTTTGGATACTGAAGTTACTAGAGAATTTGCTGTTATATAGCTTATGCTGCTTGAAGGTCCAGTGCTAATTATTTGGGTTATTTAATACACTAAAATATATTAGAAAAAGCCTTATGTCTTTTGTGACATAGTCAAAATAGCTTACTGACTAAGTCATAAGGCATATTATGTTAGATGATATTTTTCAAAAATTTACTTCTACAACAGTAGTTCGTGCCAGTGTTTCTGTGTTCCCTAAGTCAGGTATACTATATTATTATTTATTGTTAATTTACTTAACAGTATTGTTCACACTATTAAATATATCTAATGTCATAGACTGTTCTGCACTGTTAGCTTAATATATTTAGAACTAACTAAGTCTACTAGCTGACTGAATATCATGATATATTATTGGAATTATGGCCAAAACTATTGCTAATAATTAAAGTTCCCAACTGATGAAACATTGTATTCCAATCTTTATAAATAACTATTAGTTTTAAAGTTTCATGCTGCTCATGCAAAAAAAACAACTATTATTTTTATTATTCTGTCCTCATTTTATTAGTCTTACTGGTTGTTGCACATTAAATTCCACTTAAATAGGAATTACACTGTATTTATAGCTTTATAATTAATTATTAAAGTTTATGTAATCATCTCTTCATTAGCATATGCAGTTTGTTGGTATTTTTTTATGTTTTGTAGTTTTTGTGGGCTTGCATTTGAATATCTACTAGCTTATATTACCTTGGTGCTTTAAGTACTGTTTCTTCATTTTTTTATTTTTTTATTTTGTTATAACATTGTATAGCCACATTATCAATGGAACAAATCAAACAACCATGTTACTGCTTGGATAATGTAAACAATTATAGATTTACTAAGTACAAGTTTTACAAATTTTAGAAATGAATTAATAATTAGTGCCTGGCTAGGACTTTTTTAGTTAAATATTCTTTCAAAAAAAAACAGTAATATCTGAACACAGTAAAATGATAATAATAATAATAATAACAAATTAGGAAAAAAGAATCAGAAGAAAAAAACGTCTTTCAAAAGATTACAAACTAATAATATTAAATGCTTCTCCAAAATATCATAAATAATGACCAGGCAAGTAGCTGCAGGAATTTGTTTCTTTTATTAACAAATATATTTTGTGTATCTCTAGTCTCATTACTTTCATTAGTCTTGCTCAACTTGAGATCATATGCATTTTATTTCCTTTCAGACCATGAGATTAGATGTCATACATTGCTAATAACATATTATTTGTTTTATGTAATCATATGTGAACTTAGTATACATACATTAATTCTAGTAGAGCCTTGTGTCAGTTATTTCAATATAAAAATAACTTATTTAATGTATGCTAGGAGACTAGGAGGCAGGTGAGCTAGGCAAATAAAAATGTATTTGAACTAAATGATAGAAATATAAGAAAATACATAAATTATAAAACAAAACCATAACTAAATATAAAATAGAAATCTCTAACTCACACCCTGGATGTGGAGCTTTTATCTCAGTCAGTTAATATCTTTTTTTTTAATCTTTATTGCATTTAATTTAAGTTATTTAAATGTCAGTATAATTTCAGTTTATTTATTATAACTTATGATGTGGTTAGTTCCTAATATTATGACAAGTAGTAAATATCGAATCTCATTTTATTGTTTGTTTTCTGGCTTTACTTTAAGGTGTAATCTGAAAAAAAAAGTTAAGACATTCACATAATATTCCTGAAACCTTTACTGTTTTTGTTTAAAAGATAAGTATTTGTGGTACTTTTAACATAGGGTGAATTAGTTTGAAAAGTTGTAAAGCTACTGATGCAGACTGTCTTCAGAGTAGGTGGAATGCTTAAGTGTATGTGCAAATGGCTTAAATTAGAAGGCTCAAAATACAAATAGAAACATGGTAAATGCAATAATAATTTTTTTCAAATGAGTAAGTTGGGCCTAGTGTGTTGTATTTTATTATAGAAGCTTAGTTTAATACACTTTTTCACAGTCTTACAAGTAGTTTACTTTCAAAACTTGTGCATTTGGGATGGGTCCACTGGCTGAATTAGCAGTAAATTTACAGACTTACAACATTAAAATCCAGGGTTTGATTCTATGTGTGGACAGAGTACAGATAGCCTACTATGTAGCTTTTCATTAGGAAATCAACAACAACATTGAGATTGTTAGTTATCATAGTCTTAATATGTAATTTGCAAGTAAGCTTCAGATTTGTGTACATCTAGTAAATATTTGGTTTCATAAGTTGCAGAATTATTCTGAGCATCTTAAAACATTTTCAGATTACTGCATCCCTAATCCTTGTCAAAATGGAGGAACCTGCTTACCTTCCAGATGGCCTCAGCAGCCTCACTTAGTGAGTTGTCATTGTGCTCCACAGTTTGAAGGAACATACTGTGACCATCCTGCTACCCAGTCTTGCTACTTACCTGTGGATCCTGGGCATAGTAAGTATAAAACAAAACAAAACAGGTTAGCCTGTTCAGATGTTATGATTAAAGTAAAACAATTAAATTTTATATAAAATATATTTTTACAGTCAGTTACAAGATTCAGATTTCATGTGTTCTATATGAATTATCCTGGAGATAATTTGTGAAAATATACAATGGTCAGTTGTTAAGCACTTTAATCTTTACGACTGTGCTAATATTAGTAAAATTATAGATCATTTACAGTGGTGATTGTACACTTGTTTTGTTCTGTGTTGTCAAGAAACAAAGTGTTATTGTTTTTTGACAAAATTTAACATTTACATGATTTTTTCTTTTTTCAGAAAGATATAATTTCAGAAGCAGAAGTTTTATTAAAATCATTTTAGAAAACGTTCTTTTATTACAAACTGTAGAAAACTGTCAAGATAATCTGCAAAGATGGTTCTTCAACAAGCAGACTGGGAATTGTGAGCCTTTCGTTTATTCTGGATGTTTTGGTAATAGCAACAATTTTCCATCTTATTATGACTGCAGAGTTTCTTGCATGATTGGAGCATGCTGTTATCGTACACCACTTCATCCTGATCGACTGTACGGCTACGATGCTGAGGGCTATGACAGGTAACACAGTTCTTTACATTAATGGCAAGATTTTCCTATTCTCTGCCCCCCAGTGGCACACCAGTATGTTTGCAGATTTACAGTGTTAGAAACCAGGTTTCGATACCCGTGGTGGGCAGAGCACAGATAGCCCATTATGTGACTTTATGCTTAATAAAAAAAAAAACATTTGTATTCTCTACTTGTATATATTGGATTTATAACATAAATAATGTATTATTTATCCATCATTTCATTTTGAGTCTAATAACTAGATTCACCCCAGTGGCAAGAATTCGTAAAAGATCATAAGGGAGGAAAACAGAGTCCCTATTATAAATGGTAAAATTATGTAGACTTTTTAATATTATAATGAAAAAAACAACTTTATTATACTGTCTTTTATTTAAATTTTTAAACAACAGTTTTTAGCAAGTTAAAAAGAATATTTATAATTTGTGTGTAAGTAGCGTTCAATGGAATTTTATGAAAGCTTTTAGAGGGTTATCTACAATTTGTATATGCACATATTTGAAAATGAACAATTTCCTTCTGCTTTGACTAAATTATCCCACTACCCCCCTTTGAACTTTGATGTTTTTTTCTTAAACACATTATAATTTCATGTAATCAATTCCATGTATGATTTTGAATATAATTTATAGGAGTGATCGTAGAGCAAGCTAACTTTTTCATTTAATTGCCTTTGTAACACATGTATTATGATTTAGGTTGTGTTTTGTAGCTGTGTACCATATAGTATATAATTACTGATGTTTGCATTTGACTTTAATTCAGTAAAGAAGTAGCTGGTATAGTCTATAAAGTGTATGTGTTAAACAGGGAAGCGTAAACAATTCTATATCCTTTAGTTACACAAACAAACACTGTATTCTACAAGATAATATCAAACATTGATTTTTTCTTTGTTTGTTTTCAATTAAACACAAAGCTACACAATGGGCCATTTATGTTATGTCCACCACAGGTATCAAAAGCTGGTTTCTAGCATTATATGTCTACAGACTTACTGCTGTCCACTGGGGGTTTAAGAGTTAAAGCTAACATTATCTGAATCCTTAGCTTAAATAAATAACATTCAGACACATTGGTAATTCAACATGTCCGAGTATTTGAGTAACATGGAAGTTTTTTTTCTTAATCTGAGAAGATCAAGTATTTGGTTTCTTTTTTGAAAGAAACTCAGTTGTCCATACTGAAGTCTGACTTTAAAAATCTAATGGTTTAGGTCATTTTTGCTCTGGCTTGGCATCTTAGACTTTCACAATTGGCAACTTTCAAATATTTCTCAAGCTAGTCAAGACTAAATTCATATTTAATCAGTAGTTTCAGTCTGTTTACTTTAAGCTCAAGCTTATAATAACAAACATGCTAAAAATAAACTGTGTGATACATATGTAAACATTCTATGATTGATCATATGTTGTTTGTTTGGAAATGAGTAAACAAACATAACCTAAAACCAGTTAGTTCTAAGACTTTTTATTTAAAATTACATGAATTTTTACAGTGAAGCTAGACATTTAATTATTAAACTTTAGATAGTCAATATGAAGAGAAATAATTTAATTAGCTACTTAAATCTAGTCTCTTCTTAATTAAGAGAATAGCTAATGGCATATAATACTGAATAATACAAGTTTGTAATTAAGACAACCAATTAGATTCCTAGTTTAAAATATAGACTGCTATTTAGTTAAGCATTCTAATTTCATAATGCTTTCTGATAGTCTATGTATTTAACTTAAATACACAAATCTCATTAAGTCTAAACAGCAATAATGGTAATATCAATTTACAAGTAAGTTTTCTTCAACATGTTATTTTTATCATTAAATGATTTTTTTATACAACTACTAATACATGTTGAATATATAAGACTGTTTAGTGTAGGTGTTATTATTTAATATATTTTGTGAGTTAATATTTAATGATTGTTTAATTTTTAAGACATGAGTGTTGAAGATAGATTGTTTTAAAAGTGTTAGTTGTGAGAAGTTTGGATACGTAACTCAGTAACAGTCATATGTTGTATTTACATTATTGTTGAGGCTTTACTAATATTGTTGACGTCACATTAATCAAACCTTCACTATTTTTCTCGTTACCTTTACTGAGTATTGTTAAATCAGTACCGTTCATGTACTTTATAGAAAGTTCAAGGCCTCGGTGATCAAGGTATAAATATAGGCGACCAAGCTAGTGCAAGTTAAGAATTAAAGAAGCAAAGTTAAGTAAAGTTCAGTCAGAGACAAGTTAGAAAATGTGAAGTTAGCTGGCATGTGAGTGATTAGCCATATCGGGCAATATTTTAAAGTGAGTTTCACAGGTTAATAGAAATAAGGAGAGTAATTTGTCTTGTCAAAGGATGTTCTAAAGTAATTGAACCCACCTGTTCTGGATAAAACTGTGGAACCTACAGGTAACGTAAGTGAATTATTCACTGATATGAGTAGAGAAAAATAATTTGTCTTTGCAATTGGATTCTAAAATAATTGAATCAACCTGAGTGGACCTTTGACAAGAATAGAGAATTATTAAGAGTTTTAGATACAACTGTGATATCCTATAGTGTAAAGAATTTTGTACATACATTTGACTTGTTTTGAATATATATATTATTTTGAAACAAGTGGATTGTGTGCTGTTCGTTTATTGCTCAAATTTATTGCCAAAAAGTCACAGACACCTACTGTAGAAGAATCCTCGGCCCACTTATACATAAAACTCTGACAATACGATACATTCTTACAGTCGGTCATTAAGTAACAACCATATACACTTAATTGAACCCTCAACCATGATTATATTGTCACAAGCAAAAGTACCTGTCTCCAGTGATGGGAAAACTTTAAAGTTAATCTATCAATTTAAATTATTTCACAGACTTTAAAAAGGTTAATTGTGCTGTACTCTTGGTTTCACTCAGAGCCAAAGCTCTGAGATACTTATACCGCCCACTGCGAAAAGTAATTGTTGAGCATTTCAGTCATGCTAAGAGTCACTCAACAATAACATATGGTAAATCTACATTTTTATTTTTAAATTAAGTCACATTTTGAAACGTGAATGATAGCATGATTAATTTGTAACAATTTAGAGTAGAATATCTTGCTTGCAAAATAAAATTTGCCATCAACATTATTCATGCCTGTTCTCCTTTCATTTCAAAAGTGAAAGTTGAGTTTTACATGCATGCACAGCTTTTCAAATGCATCATGGGAAGCAGCTACTGTAAATAGGAGACAGAAGAATGCTTAGAGAGACACGACAGTTCACAATATATACAAGATCAGAGGGTGATGTACCACAAGGATCAAAGTAAATAAATTGCTTTTTCTCCACAAATAATGGGTTACACACTGTACTAACTATACAGAGAGATTAAGAATTCTCAGGAAGTGTGTGTCAAACTACTTGCTTGTTGCTAAACTTGGGTAAATTATACATCATAGATTCTGGTTGTTATATAAAAGTTAAGATGATTCTAAAATTGATGTTTACAGTTGCAGAAGTCAGTTGTTTCAATATTTTACATAATTAGATGCCACTATTTAGATTTTAGTTTCCAGTTATGTATCAAAATCATGATGACCTCAATTTCATTAATCAAGCTTCAAGAAAAGGAAAACCGTTTCATATTGCTTCATTGTTGGCAAACCTTATGATGTGATTTGCCAAAATCATACTTGTTATAACAGAGTGTATATTTTTTGTTTCAACTATGTTTCTAGCTGAGACATTGCCTTTTTTTTCCTCTTCACTGTCAAAACTTACCAAGTGTTTGAAAGCAAAGCAGACGTTACTTTAGTTTTTATTTTCAGTTTTTCATTTGAAAAAATATAAAAAGGTTGCAAGTATTTCCAGGAATGATGGTCAGTTGTGTTACCATTACATTGTAATTTTGTTTGTCATAATGTTATGCCCCCAGTGGCTCATGGTAAGTCTGGAGGCTTACAACATTGTGAATTAGGTTTTAAATACCAATGACAGGCTGAGCACAGATAGCCCATCATGTAGCTTTGCGCTTAACAACAACCAAATCCATAATGTTATCTTTATTGAAAAATGTTTGTACATGTAATATTAAAGGATTCAACATCTTCAGGAGTTGTGTTATAAAATATATTTTCTTAAATGAGTAAAAAATGGTTATTTACCAATATTTTAGTTATAGTATTTTTTTGTGTTGTTATTCAGAATTATAAAAAAATTTAATTGAAATGCATTTTGTTTGGGTGATGTAAAACTTTTTAAATAATTGCTATGTATTGTTACTATGATTTTTGTGGATGTATGTGTAAATTGTTTTTGTTATTTTAACTCACACTACCTTTATTAACTGAAAAAAGTAATTGTACTTTAAGATTATAACATATTTTGTACATTTTCTTTAAGATATGGTTATAATAGCAATGGATTCAATCGACAAGGAGAGTCACATACCTTTAATGATTATGATGGAGGTTCTCAAGGAATTTATGATGATGATGGTTTTGATTATCAAGGTAGGCATTTTTTTTAGCAAAATTGTATGGTTTATCATAGCTAACATTGTTATAGTCATATATTTTTTGAGAACTTTGATGCAACCAAGTACACCTAGCTCTTTAACGTTGCTATGTTTACATAATAAATTTGTTTGGGTTAAGTTTTCATATCAGATACATTTACATGGAAAACTTTTTACAGTTATTTCAATGTACAATATTTTGGCCTTGATATTATTGTGAAAAAACAACAGCATTAAAAATATTGAAATATTTCTTAATTAATCAAGAATTAATGCATACTGTTAATTTGTGATTATTTTTGTTATCCCAGTTTTTTGATGAGTAAACAAAGAACCAGTTTGTGTAGTACTGTAGTTCTTTTGTAAGTAGCTATAATCTTGTTTCAACAGTATTTTTTAACATCTTTCCAAAATAGCAAACTGTATGTTGTAATTAGAATTTGAATGTTTTAGAATAAAATATTTTTCCATTTAAAACAAAAACATGAGGTTGTTAAAATTCTTGTGAATTTCCTGTAATGGGAATTTAGAAAAATAATCTATTTATAAAATATATCTTTTTCTTTTTACAAGGATATGATCAACAAGGTTTTGATAAAAATGGATATGATCGCCTTGGTTATAGTCGTCATGGCTACCACAAAACTACAGGTTTTAATATTACAGGTGAATGCATGATTCAGAGTTGATTTTAAATCAAAGTTTAGTTGATGTATTTATTATTTTATAATTCACTACAAAAATGTGTTTGCATTGAGCAATTTCAAAACACATGTAAAAATATACAAAATCTCTAATCTGATATTCTGCCTGTTGGACAAATTGGGTTAGTACATAAGTTTATTAGAAGCACTGTTGAGCAGAGTTAAAGCTAATTTTAACAAAACACATGCTACATGAGCATATTCTTGACAAGCACTCTTTCTGTTTGAAGTGTGGGAAGAAGCATTTCTGATAACAGATAAAACTTCTTGTTTAGGTAATTTGGGTTTTAATAGAATAATTGTTAACTTG